AAAAAAAAAAAAAAAAAAAAAAAATGTTAAATTATTTTTGTCCTGTAAAAGATGTTTTTTTCAAGATTTATGATTTATCAATACTATAACCATGCCACATTTACCAATACTTTGTTACAGCTCTTGGCAGTGGTACAGGAATCCGTAACTCAGTCCAACTAGACAAGGCATTGAAGGGGAGGTAACTTGATTGGCAGTGGTACAGGAATCCTTAACTCAGTCCCACTAGACAAGGCATTGTAAGGGGAGGTAACTTGATTGGCAGTGGTACAAGAATCCTTAACTCAGTCCCACTAGACAAGGTATTGTAAGGGGAGGTAACTTGATTGGCAGTGGTACAGGAATCCTTAACTCAGTCCATCTAGACAAGGCTTTGTAAGGGGAGGTAACTTGATAGACTTAGGCCCCTTTCCCGTATTCAGTTCAACCAATTAAAATGGTTGAACCTGAAAGAAAATGTTAGGGGCAGATCTGAACCGAGGCTGACCTCAGGAGTATTCGGCACATGTAGATTGAGGGGTCCAGACGTCACGTGCCCGACAGAAACTAAAATGCTGACCATGGCTAGTTTGCGATATTTCTTTGCAAAAACAAGGTCAAGCCACGTGTAGATTTTAAGATATGTTATATAATTTAGTTGACACATGAAAGAAGGACATATTATTCTTGATATATTGTTATTTATTTTCCAAATTTAATGCTTTTTTAGCTCTGCTTAATTAAACGAATGCACTTGGACCGTTCTATATCTTGGAATATTTCTGCGCCACCTGAACCGTTTCAACAGGGAAACATGAATGTAACCTTAGACTTCACATATAAATTACTTAATGCTATAAATGTAAGAGGAGAGAAATAAAGCAGGTCGAGGATAAGAGCTTGGGAAATCCAAACTTTAAAAATAAGGGAGCCGTTCCCCCAGAATATGATGACATTGGTGAGGCCATTTTACAATGTCCAAGGCTTCTTCTCTCTATACATACTGCATACTGGGAAATTTTCACCAATGAAAATAAATGCTTGTCCCGTGTTAAATGTTTTTTACATATATTTGCTATAAGAATAAATTCGCCCTCATTGCAGAGGATAAATAGATGAAAGTATAACTGCACGAAAAAAGCTCTACATACTTTTTGAAGATTGGACGAGGCTGTACCTACTATTTGAAGAATGGACGAGGCTGTACCTACTATTTGAAGAATGGACGAGGCTGTACCTACTATTTGAAGATTGGACGAGGCTGTACCTACTATTTGAAGAATGGATGAGGCTGTACGTACTATTTGAAGAATGGACGAGGCTGTACCTACTATTTGAAGAATGGACGAGGCTGTACATACTTTTTGAAGATTGGACAAGGCTGTACCTACTATTTGAAGATTAGACGAGGCTGTACATACTTTTTGAAGATAAACTAAGGCTGTTCCTACTATTTGAAGATTGGACCAGGCTGTACATACTATTTGAAGATTGAGTGAGGCTGTACATTATTTGAAGATTGAGTGAGGCTGTACATACTATTTGAAGATTGGACGAGGCTGTACATACTTTTTGAAGATAGACTGAGGCTGTTCCTACTATTTGAAGATTGGACCAGGCTGTACATACTATTTGAAGATTGGACGAGGCTGTACATAATTTTTGAAGATAAACTGAGGCTGTTCCTACTATTTGAAGATTGGACGAGGCTGTACATACTATTTGAAGATTGGGCGAGTCTGTACATACTATTTGAAGATTGAGTGAGGCTGTACCTACTATTTGAAGATTGAGTGACCCTGTACATACTTTTTTGTCACCTTCTGGTCAGGCTGTATGGGTTTGATGTGACCAGGTCCATGCTTCTCCTGTTCCTCTGCTACCATATCTATGATCTCACTGTTCACCTGACCATTGGTCATCTTCTCTGACCTTGACCTGTAAGATATGGAGTCTTAATGAAATAGAAAGCTGACTTAAAATGTAATAATCCTTTGCGGACAGTTATTCTAGACAGAAATGTCTTATTTATTCATTAAACAGACAAAAGAGCAATTGTCTGTGGGTTAGACAACAAATAAACCTTAATAGTTTACATATATCTTATTTATCAACAGTGAAATATTACGGTATACAGTTGTGTATTTAAATTTCCTTTATACAGTCCTTAGATAAATCTACCAGACAGAAATGTTTATAGCAAGAACCATTATACATGAATTTTTCGAATCGGACACAGAATTTTCCATCAAAATGAGTAATCTGGGACCAATCACAATGTGACGTCAATAGTAAATTATGAACATATTCCTGAACGTATTTACCGCTACACAAAACTGGTAACCAGATGCATAGAAACATGATCATGTTCCCACAAAAATATGGCTGTTCTGCCAATTGGTAAAATAGTTTAAATTGTGTTCTGAACCAGATGGGACCACATTAACAGCTAAAGTCATTTAAGGACGTGCCTCCATGTGTGTAGTGTATATGCATGCTTGTGTGTGTGCACGTGTATACAGGAGACAGGGTATGTTGGTGTGCTTGCCTCCTTGTGATAGCGCGGATCTGATGCCAACTTCAAAGTGCTATCTCACTGAAATACCATGTTGTTTTGAACACAAGACATAATTATATGAGGATTTAAATGATTTTGTTTTACCTTGCACTATAGACTACCATTATAAATATAAGAAAGTTTCATTTTTATCCCTAAATACCCCTGGTACTCACCCCTTGACCATTCTACTTTCCCCTGATACTCACCCCTTGACCATTCTACTTTCCCCTGATACTCACCCCTTGACCATTCTACTTTCCCCTGATACTCACCCCTTGACCATTCTACTTTCCCCTGATACTCACCCCTTGACCATTCTACTTTCCCCTGATACTCACCCCTTGACCATTCTACTTTCCCCTGATACTCACCCCTTGACCATTCTACTTTCCCCTGATACTCACCCCTTGACCATTCTACTTTCCCCTGATACTCACCCCTTGACCATTCTACTTTCTCCAGTGCCACTGATTCTCATGTTCGGATCAGTTTCAATGTCAGCACACATGGAGCTCTGGTCCACAGGTATTTTATCATCAGCATTCCTCGAGGACCACAGGTCATCCGAATCCTTCCCTTTCGGGAAACTGTCTTGTTTAGATTTTAAAGGACGAGGTTCAGCAGTCCGTTGTTGGGGTTTCTTACTGAGAAACTTGTTTGCTTGCTCAAATTCATCATCAATAGAATCGCTGGAAGCATTCCTCAGCAGCCTAGGTTTAGCATCCTCTTTCTTCCTCTGTCGTTGACTTGAGGTATCCTCGGTCAAAAAATCAAGGAGACTCGCCTCTTTCTTCATTGGCGGAGGCTCCTGTCTATCTCCTTGTTTGGAAAACCGTGACCTCTGACCTGACGTTGGAGTTGTTGGAGACTTTCGACCATACATATCCTGTGTAGGGGTTTTCCTGCCCTGGAAATCCCTCGTGGGAGTTTTTCTACCCTGTGGATCATTTGTGGGAGTTTTCCTGCCCTGAAGGTCCCTTGTGGGTGTCTTTCTGCCTATTGGGTCAGTAGGTGTCTGCCTGCCGTTAACCCCAGGCATCCTCTGTCCGCCAGTCGGAGTCTTCCTACCTCCGTATAACTCTGTAGGTGTTTTCCGACCCGGACTATTTTTTGAGAATCGTTTCTGTTTCAGGGTATCCTCATCATCTGATAATTCTACCTCCACGGTACTTGTCTTACCAAATATGTCAGTGGTATTTCTCATCCGTGGACGAGGTACCTCTCCTTCCATCCCCCTGTAGGAACAATAGATCTGTTATTTAGCGACAGAACAATCATTTCTCTTAATAACACATTTATTATCAAATATAAACTCACATATTTCATTTCCAGGATATGTCCAGATCTACCCTCACCATTTATGTGACATCCTATGTTACAATGTCGGAATTAGCAGCAGGTTGAAAGAGAATTGTTTAAATGTATGAAAATTGGGTTTATGCCAAGTCTCTATTTTATTCCTTTTCAAAAGATTTAGCCCCTTGGCTTTATATGACAGAAACATGGCAGAAGGATAAAACCCATCACCCAAAATATAGTATGAAATTTTTGAAAAAAAAAAAAAAAATACTGGTAGTTTATGGTATGTACTCACTTAGTTGCTCTGGGTAGAGTTGTTCCCCCTGACAGCTGGCGTGGTCTGGGAGATGGGGTTTCCGATATTGGTCTGAGTGAGGACTCCAGCGAGGGGGTTGTTCTGCCCCGCAATCCTACAACATTAATATTTACATTCACTGAAAATCTTTAACAGTTGTCATTAAAACAATTGTTTTTATATTTTTAAATACCAATATCATATTGTAAGACATCAGTTATATATTTACCAGCAGTTGCACTAGGACAAATAGCAACCAGTTCATGCATGGGAGAACTGATAAAAGTTAAGCCAGAAAAAATAAAAATAAAAATCTTGTGTTAGAACTGCTATTAACCCTACCTACCATGGATTTTTGTGTCTACCCTCAATTTTTCATTGATATTTAGTGATATGCACTGTTAAAGTCAGATCCCTGCTCTATATAAGCATATATAGTAAAGATATTTTTTTCAAAATGAAAAAAGAAATTGCCTACCTAGCTACCTACCCTATCTTTTCTGATGATGATAGTGGAACCACAAGTACTTTTTTTTTTGGCCTTATCCACAGTGCAGGGAGACAATTTTCAACCATCAAACTGATCATCACATTGTCCAATGTTCTATATTTCATGGACACAATAAGCTGGTCTGAAATCTGAATTATACCTGAAGTTGGGGAGACCCCTCTGTCATACCTGAAGTTGGGGAGACCCCTCTGTCGCCGGATCCCCTGTCATCATCTGTCATTATGGGACTTGCCTTCCTCAGGTTTGGAGCCTGCCAGGGCTTGTTGGGGTCGTGGAGAGGTTTTCTGAATACAGACATCATACAGGGGTAACTTGTAACTTAAAGATGGCAGAATGGGACTGTACTTAGTCACAAATGGCTGCAGAAAACACTTCAATATCAGTGCATACAAACTGTGAAGAATGCAGCGTATATCAAAACTAACAGTACATTTTGTATAAAAGTAACAGGCATGGATTTAATGTAACAACTAGTCATCTTTTCAGTCATGTATTAGATCGAAAAATATTTTTCTAAAGATTTCTCGTACATCTTGATCTATACAAACACATTATGTTGAAAAAAATCAATAAAAAAAAATTAAAAATTAAAAAAAAAACAACAAACAAACTCACCCTTGTGAATCATTTGTTGGAGTCTTCCTACCAAAGATCATATCAGATGCTGACATTGGTTGTTCTTGTTTCAGTTTAGAATTAGATTTAGTACCCTTTGGGGACAGTCCCCCTTTGCTTTCCCCATACGTCTTCATACTTGAGCTCCCTTTGGGGGACAGTTTGGGAGATGTCAGCGAGGGCATGTCCATGCTGTATCGGTCCCTAGGAGGCGTTTTAGGGGAGCTCAATGGCGGCATGGAACTGCTCCCTGATGAGGCCCCCTTTTTCATGAATCGGTCGCCTGCACCGGGTCTGAGAGTGTCAGTCATGGATAAGTCCCCCTGAAGAGGTGAACGCCGCTTGGCAGAATTCGGACGGTTGCCTTTTCTCTGTTGGAAGTCTGTCCGATACTGTGCATATGCATCTGAAAATAAAGAAAAAAAATGTACAATGTCAACAATTCTTTGCAGTTTTATCAAATAAATTTGACACCTGCGAACTTGTGAAGAACCTATAAATATGGGAGAAAACCCCCCACATTTTATCAACATCAGAAGCCATATGACTTCCTTACATTTTCACTACACCATTCCATGCTATAACACCTAAGTTGAATTTAAAAGTAATAATACTTCAACATCCAAGTTGAATTTGAAAGTAATAATACTTCAACATCCAAGTTGAATTTAAAAGTAATAATACTTCAAGATCCAAGTTGAATTTGAAAGTAATAATACTTCAATATCCAAGTTGAATTTGAAAGTAATAATACTTCAACATCCAAGTTGAATTTGTAAGTAATAATACTTCAATATACTTTAAGATCCAAGTTGAATTTGAAAGTAATAATACTTCAACATTCAAGTTGAATTTGAAAGTAATAATACTTCCACATCCAAGATGAATTTGAAATTAATAATACTTCAACATCCAAGTTGAATTTAAAAGTAATAATACTTCAACATCCAAGTTGAATTTGTAGGTAAGTAATAATACTTCAAGATCCAAGTTGAATTTGAAAGTAATAATACTTCAAGATCCAAGTTGAATTTGAAAGTAATAATACTTCAACATCCAAGTTGAATTTGAAAGTAATAATACTTCCACATCCAAGTTGAATTTGAAATTAATAATACTTCAACATCCAAGTTGAATTTGAAAGTAATAATACTTCAACATCCAAGTTGAATTTAAAAGTAACAATACTTCAACATCCAAGTTGAATTTGTAAGTAATAATACTTCAACATCCAAGTTGAATTTGTAAGTAATAATACTTCAACATCCAAGTTGAATTTGTAAGTAATAATACTTCAACATCCAAGTTGAATTTGTAAGTAATAATACTTCAACATCCAAGCTGAATTTGAAAGTAATAATACTTCCACATCCAAGTTGAATTTGTAAGTAATAATACTTCAACATCCCAGTTGAATTTATAAGTAATAATACTTCCACATCCAAGTTGAATTTTGTAAGTAACAATACTTCCACATCCAAGTTGAATTTGAAATTAATAATACTTCAAGATCCAAGTTGAATTTGAAAGTAATAACACTTCAAGATCCAAGTTGAATTTGAAAGTAATAATACTACCTTTTTTATCCTGCAACAACCACAGGTGGCAAATGTATAATCTCTTACTGAGAGTAAGGGAGCAGCCTTATTATGTGACAATGTATAATCTCTTACTGAAAGTAAGGGAACAGCCTTATTATGTGACAATGTATAATCTCTTACTGATGGTAAGGGAACAGCCTTATTATGTGACAATGAAAAATCTCTTATTGATGGTAAGGGAACAGCCTTATTATGTGACAATGTATAATCTCTTACTGATGGTAAGGGAACAGCCTTATTATGTGACAATGAAAAATCTTTAGTTGGCGTTTCTTCCAAACTGTATTAAATATTGGTGGGCTTATTACCAAGCACTGGCTTATTGTCATGTTGGATAAATAAAGAAATAAACTTACACTAAATTAGTTACGTTATTGTTGTATATGTATTATTATTTAGAAACATGTACATAAAGATACTTTCCTCTTCTTCCTTGGAAAAAAACCCCCACACACTTATATTATGTCAGCATCGATCCCTCTGTTTTTTTGTCATAGCTATTAAAAGTTTAGTGAAACAGAAATAACTTTTCACTAATGATAATCATTCTAGGAAACAGATTGCATGTTTCAGATTTTGTATAAAGGTTATCAAGTTATTTTCTTTAATATTTTGACAGACAATGTAAATTTCTATAAGGTTTTCATTTGGTTTTAAAAATGTGCAAAATTTCCTATTTGTTGTCTCTAAAAGCTATCTTCAAATGAGAATCAGTGGTGTATCTATCCTAATAGTGATTATGATGGCATTCATACATGGGTAATGGCATTCATGGCTGATAGTGATATGAATGCCATCTGAATTAGGAAAGATTAATATATAATCTTCCCTACCTTGTGAGCTCAAGTGTGACAGAGAAACCTAACCTGAAGGGTGGATATTTTTGGATGTCTAATTACCCGAGGCTCTGTCGGGGGGTTAGACAATCGATTTCTCCATTACACTGTCAAGGTACGTAGGGGATGATTATTTTTCTCTCATTTTATTATTTCAGTCACAACTTCACCAATAGTAGTAATACACGTTTGATTTGAAGCTAATTGTGACAACATAACATATTGTTCTCCCTACGTCATCATATTTTTGTCCTTATATCTGTCATACTCTTTAAGGAGACAGGAATATATCTTGAATAGGTGAATTGATAGGCAGTTCAGTGAAAGGTGGGATATATATATATATGGTAACAGGTTGTTTCGCCCTAAATCCTGCTTGCGCTAAGGGTTGTTTCGCCTTAAATTTTTTTTTTAATTTATATTATATGCTCATATAATAATTGATATTCAAATGTATCAACTAAACTTATTGATGGCTTTCTTCATTGGTGTGAGGTATATTTCATGTAGAGTATGTGAGAGCGGAGTCAGCTTTTCAAAGCTGCCGTTTGTCACACTCGCTTAAAAATAAGACAAACATTTTTTTCTACGAAATTGATTTTAATATTAATATGAAAGACTAAGAAGACTTAATTTGTGACTTAAAACTACTAAAATTGAAAGACAATACCATACAATATTTCGCCCTAATATTTTTGTTTCAGGGCGTAGCAACCTAGCGCGAAACAACCTAGGGCGAACGGGATTTCGGGCGAAACAACCCGGAACCATATATATAGGCAATGAGATAGAGTGGTATACATTATGTATTAATATTACCATCATCATCGTCACCACTCGGCTCTATGTCTTCGGCAACGTCGCTGTCATCAGTGAGATCTGCAGTCAAGCCCTGTCTGCGTCTATCCTTTAACCTCTGTTGTAGCTCAGACTGTAAGTTTGATGATTTCTTGGGTTTCATGAACCTTTGCCCATAACCTGGGCTATCAACCATATCCATGTTGAACTCTGCACTAAGATTAAAAGTAGAACATTTTTCATTAAATCAGTACCAATGTCAGTATCATTATAGATGAAAAGACTAAAAGTGTTCCCACCCCAAACATCAGACTTTTGAATCAGACTGAAAGATAGATGTGATTGTCTGTTTGAAGTCTAATTATGTGGTCAGAGTAAACTGATACGCTGTACATTTAACACGAACAGAATTCTTATTAATTGAAGCAGGCATAAGGTATAAAAGTTCAAAGTTTTGGAATACTGAGAGAATATAATTACATTACTGTTACTTCCCTCAGTAATAAAATACAAAATATCTAAATAATTGTGAATGTGAATATTTTCTGTGAATGAATTTCTCTCTTTTTGGACTGTATATAACCATTATCACAATACAATGTGCACTATAAATAGTCGGTTCAGAAGTTGATCACATAATGGTGTCATTCAACAGCAACAACCGGATTTAATAAGCTTTCACTGAAATGAATTGAGGTGATTACAAATTAACTTCTGAGGTAAAATTGAAACCCAAACATTCTTGATAAACAGCATATAAACATTGGTGTCTAATTTTGCTTTAATCATGCGACAAATTTCACCTTAAGGACTCAGAAACTGGTCACAGGTGCTGAACACACTAATTGTATGTGTTATATATCATATGTGTTTGTCCAGAACCAGTGATGCTACAACTAGGTAGCTCACTTTACACTTACATAAACACTAAACACTGTAAACATGTAATGAGCGAAATCTACGCTTGTGAACAAAGCAAGCGTAAATACCATAATGATCACTTTACTTTAGGGTCTAAATCAATATGTAATAACATGGCAAATTAACAGCAAAGACTTGCGAGTTTTTTCCCCTTTATTTTTGATATTTGATACTGTAACCTAAGGCACCAGTCATCTATTTGTTGTTCACATATTATTGTTGATGATATTTCACGTTATTAATCGAATCCCGCAAAACGGTTGAACATATCGAGCTTTGACAAAAAGTTGTTTACATATGTGCAATGAGAAAATCACCAAAATAGAAAAGCAAGCCCAAGCATGCCACAAGAATGTAGATAGGTCTGTGACAAGTTGACTATATTGTAAACCAAACTACAAATATATCCATTGCATCATGAACTAATTAAAATGGTGACCAATGAATCTTACGTTTTCACGAATTACCTATTACTGTCCTTCCAACTTATGACACGGACAGAACACAAAAAGAACACAAATCGGCAGCCATGTTTTACGTTACCAAGAATGCAAATTTTACAAGTCGATATAAATTACAGAATGACAATTTCCAGTTGTGACAGGTTTTCAACAATGCTATAGAATATTAAAATAAATGATTAAAACGAATACTATTATATTGATTTTATTTAGTATATAAATGCGTTTCTTTATTGTATTGATGTTTAAAGTTTGAATCGTTCCGTTTGTTTTTAGGGGAGATAACAAGTGCCCGTTGTGCACTCTCCATCGAAACTTTTTACAAGTTACCTCCCGTTGACCCGTTTCACCACACAAAAACTCTATTTCTTCTTGCACTTGACAAAAACTATCCCATTACAACCGTGTTTTATATTTGAGCCTAACGGGAATCAACGTTGTGTCTTGGCATAATTATTTGCTACGGTAAAAGTGAGAGCCACCCACATTAATTTTTTTTCATTTTTTAATGGACAATTAAAAATGTTTTTGACATAATTAGGAGGCTAGGAAGCTGTTCGAGCCAAGGGGGCTAGACACGGACCTATAGCTACGTCACTATAAAACGATTGCCAGTTGATTATAATGTAACCGCTCTCGACAATGACCCTCTCATGATTATTGGTGTAGTCGTGAGATGGGTGATAGTCGAGAGTATTTTTTTCCTGGGATGTTTTAAAACCCCTACTCCGGCTCGTCTGCCCAATCTTGTATAATATTAATATCTGCAACTGTAGGTCTAGTGTCGTTTGTGTATTTTCACCGTTATTACATGCTGGATTTAGATGATTATTTAACTTATCCAAAAATCGAAGATGTTGAATAGAGGACTAAGGGAAATTACGTTACCTTGCGAAACCCCATTATCTCGTACATATAGTTATTTATCTTAACTTGCGTTTTCTGATCTTTTAGTCAATATCTTTTAAAGATAATATAAGATACGACAGTGTTAAGTCTGACTCGTCCCCAGTTCAATCCGGTGTGCCGCAGGGTAGTGTTGTTAGACCTCTCCTGTTCCTCCTTTTTTATAAATGACCTGCCAGATGTCATCTCATCCACGTCGAAGGTTGGCCTTTTCGCTGATGACTGTGTAGTATACCGGTATGTCTCGTCAAAAGAGGACTCACTTCAACTGCAGAAAGACCTGGACAGTCTTGTTAGGTGGAAACAGGATTGGACGATGGAATTCCACTCCAGAAGTGTCAAGTTCTACACATGAGCCATATATCATCCATGGCCATACCCTGGAAGTGGCTGATACGGCAAAGTATATTGGCGTCCATCTGCATAAGACTCTGAGCTGGAACCATCACATGAGCCAGATTGCAAGGAAAGCAAACTCTATCCGGGCTTTCCTACAGCGGAACATCAACCAGTGCCCAAAGCAAACTAAGGAACTTGGCTACAAGACTCTAGTGAGACTTACCACTGAGTTTGCCAGCACAGTGTATGGGACCCTCATACAGCCGACAACATCAAGAAGCTTGAAATGGTACAGGGGCGCTCAGTCAGATTTATCTTTGGCGACTACCATACCACCAGCAGCGCCTCATCCATGGTATCCCAACTAAACTGGCCCACTCTGCAGGAACGACGTGCCCAGGCTAAGGTAGTGATGATGTACCGTATCGTCCATGGCCTAGTGGAAGTGTCAACTATATACCTGAATCCATCTGCCGTCTTTCTGCGTGGTCACCACCGCAAATTCCTGGTGCCCTTCTCACGTACAAAGACCTTCCTGACGTCCTACTACCCTGGCACCATCCGATTGTGGAGCACACTCCCGGCATCATTCGCAGGTTGAGCCTTCCTTGACATATTCAAGATGGAGATACTGCGGGTGGTCCTCAGATAGCTAGGCTGGAATTACTCCGTTTAAAATTGCGTTGTCCATATTCATTTTAATCACATATTAACGCCTGTGTTCCTGTGCCGGGCATACGTCAGAGACGGTTTGCACTCTACTGGAAGAAGAAGAAGATAACATTAGCTCGGTAGAGCTATTTTTACGACAAACATATATATATAGGTATGATTAAAACAAACAAAAGCATAGCATGCAAATAAACGTATATGCCTACATAGATGAATACAATATAGGTGTACCCCTGCAGGTGGGGGATCGGGAAAAGAATACGCATGCTGTTACCCACTGCATGCATCGTTTGAGGCGACTAATGTGGGAACCCCCTGGAGAATTGGGGATTTGCTTTGTTATCCTCTATTTGGGGACACAAAAGCGACTCAAGTAAATCTGCTGCACCCATTGCAATATTTGGGATATTTCTTTCTACTTCTAACTATCTTTTATTTCCTAGTGCCTTGCTTGGCAATACCTCACTTTTGGCTTGAAGTTTGAGCGTTCGCCCAGGTGAGGAAGGCAATGGGTTCTGTCCCCAGGCCGGGACATACCAAAGTCCTTAAAAATGGTAGTTGTTATTCCCTGCTTAACGTTCAACATTTAGGGGAATGGCAAATACTGGTTCACCCGTTGTCAGTATAATGTGACCGGGCGGAATGCTGTGCCGGACGCCTTCGGCATGGTATTGCAGTGAGATAGCACTATCAAGTCGGCATCAGATCCGCGCTATCACAAGGAGGCAAGCACTCCAACATACCTTGTTTCCTGCATACACATGCAATCACGCATACACTACACACATGGAGACACGTCCTTAAGTGACCTTAGCTTTTAATAGGACGTTAAACGAAATAAAAGTTAAACCTTAACCTAAAATAAAATTCACTAAAGTTATGAAAATAAAATACAACAATATATGCAGGCTACTGCACTAAAATATTGAATGCTGTATATGCGGGGTGTCCCGCTGCTGTCTGTTACCGAGGTAGCTACTAACGAGCTAAACTGCTGACCCGTCCAGTCCATATGTTTGCAGCTTCCCCAGTAACAGTGCATTAGGGATGCAATCGAAAGCCCTGGACAGGTCCATAACTATAGCTCCTACGAGCGTATGATTGTCCAATGCCTGACGCAAATCCTTTAGGACCCTCTGCAGGACATACTGGCACCCGTAGCCCCGCCTAAAAGCAGCTAGAAAAGGGTTAAAGTATTGTTAAAAATACACTTAACTGGTCATGTGATACTTTCTCAAATACCTTTGATATAGTAGGGAGTACACTGACATGTCTATAGATTTCTTTCTTTAATGAGTCTTTCTTTTTAAAAATAGGAGTCACCTGCGCACGACGGGACGGACATGGGTAACACTATATGCCGCCCCCCCCCCCCCCTTTATGGTGGGGGCATAATAATTAGTAAAAGAATCGACTGATATCACATGGATATGTAAAGTCTTTAAAACAAAATATCAACGCTACACTCCATGACCATTTAAAAACGTCCGTTATATAAGACTGTCAAGTAATTAGCTAAATGGTCGTATCGTTACCATGTTAAATCAACGAGTCTTACTTGCATGATGTATAGCTGCTTTTGTACGTATGTAATATTTAAATAATAGCTTAAACATTCATATTATGTAAATACTATATTTATGCATTCATAACATGCAAATATATGCAAATATATGAATGTCTAAATTTATAAAAAAAAAAAAAAAAAAAAACACTCTTCCTAGACATACCGTGCACCTGCAGACAGAGAGTTACGGTACTTAACATGTTTTATGCATTAACAGTTATGGTAATGTACATGTCCAGTCTATGCATCATTTTTGCAATCTATTACACACATGATGTATTGTAATTTATTGATATGGGATTTTTTTTTATGACATACAGTACCAGATGCAGTATTGCACGTACATGTGGATTACCATCCTCGATTCGCCAGAGATCACTATATACGCTCACTTTCGCTCTCTACACCCCTGGAATAGGGGTAATCAATGTTCAACACCTTTTGGATGAGACGAGAAGACAAGTATAATCCTTTGATGTACAGAATATCTCGGTCGCGTAACGGTAAAATTGACCGACTTTCAAGTCGTGTGTCACTCCTCTTTAACCTTCAAAGGACATGTATCAGCCTAGCAATTGGTCAAGTTATCTTTTCCTGAGGTCAATCAATCAAATAGCTAGCCGCGTGCTTTCAAATTGATACAGAGAACGAAAGTGAGCGTAACCTCCCGAAGTATCGAAGATGGTGGAATACCGGAATGATATAATATGTTTGTAATCAGACCTTCTTTAAATAGAAACTCATGGGTTTTTATCCGCCGATGAAATCAACGGATTGAAACAGGGACGGGTTCAAAACACTTACATATGTAAGTGTCATTGTAATCATTGATAGTCATTATTCCGTCCACGACGTCTTCTTGTCAGCCATTATTTGCCGGTTCGTACTGTCGATCATAACATATATCGAACATAAATACGACATACCAGGTAAGAAATTGTAATAAGTTCTTCCGATTCGAATTTTATATCGTTAGTCTATATAACAGAAGTAGAAATCAATCTGATTAAATCTCGTTAGTCTGCTATACTAAGTATTTAGGAGAGAACAATGAATAATATGATTCAAACCTCAAAGCGTGAATCAATAAATGGAAAAACAATGTTTTATCTTATTAAAATTCAACACTATTACTAATTAATATAAAATGACATATACAATACCCGATTTTAGTTTCTTCACTGGAGGTGTTGTCTACATTTCACAGCCATGAACTCGTAGAAACCCAAGAAAACACATTCGCACAGTATAGTCTAAGAATTGTTCTGGAAAAAAAAGAAAAAAATATCAGCAATATAATCATTAATCCGTGCAGAAAGATCACCCCTATATCTTCATTTTGACATAATGTTTGGTTTAGTTTGTTTGTGTTATACGTCCTTTTAACAGTTATGGTAATTTAAGGACGTGTCAGGATTTGGTGGTGGAGGAAGACCGGAGTATCCGGAGAAATCCCACCGACCTGCGACAAGTATCTTTAACATAAGGTAATCAATATTCATCTCATTAATGAATGCAGATTTATATTAATAATTAACTGATTTTTTATTTATATTGCAATTATATTGTATTATTCAATCAAACCAGGAAAAAGACATTCATGAAAGATTTTGTGTTTGTTTTGAAAAAATATCTTTTATGAGGAAATCCCCACGAAAAACTCCGAAGTTGAACGTAAACTTGTAGGTGGATTTTTATAGTTTATTGTTTTTTGTAACCTAAGAAAGAATGTTATTGTTACACACTGTACCTAAGTACTCATTTGATTTTATTTCACCGAAAACCCTTAATGGAACAACTGCCTTATGGAGCAGTAAACATGTTATCATCATCATCAACAACAGCAACAACAACAACTACAACAACAACAACATCATCATCATCATCATCATCATCATCATCATCATCATCAACAACAACAACAACAACTACAACAACAACAACATCATCATCATCATCATCATCATCATCATCAACAACAACAACAACAAATATGTGCAAACTTTTGTTTTAAATAAATGCTTCCTTCCTCGTATTTCTAGTGATTATGTTACAGAGCTGGAGATGATATGAATATGCACATCATGTATTATCAAAAATGATAATGGACTCATCTCATGAATGACATATGCAGACATGTTTTATGATCGGAAATGTCACCTATACAGTATATGCCATTGTCAATCCAGACAGTTTTTGAACACAAGGACGCGCAGATGTATACACCAATATCAGCGAGGTCACCAGTAAGTAGACCATTTAAATGGTGAGTATAGATTTAAGGATGCCTGTCCCACTGATTGCTAAACACCGAAGACTTCCTCTGTAGTTTTCTGTACACACAGTAAACTCCTCTTAATTCATAAACAAGAGAGCACGATTACCGAAGGTCAATACGGATATCTGTATCCCACAGCAGAGACCACTCCTAGAATATACTGTACACCCAAGATGCACAAGCAGGGAAACCCACTGAGGCCTATTGTGGACTACACTGGATCCATTGTTTACAATATTTCCAGATCATTAGCAGACATTATTGGACCCCTAGTGGGTAAATCGGAACACCATGTAAAGAATTCGAAACATCTAGCGGAAGCTATGTCTACCATCATGATTCAGAAAGAGGAAAAAATCATTTCACATGATATTGTCTCTCTCTTTGCCAACACAGCCATTGACGACGCACTTAGAATAATTCGGAAATGCTTAGAATTAGACAGATCCTGGCGCAAAAACACAAACCTCCAGATTCAGGACATCATGGATTTGCTGGAATTTGTGCTGACAACAACATATTTTAGTTTCCGAAACAACATCTATCAACAACGCTTCGACACCGCTATGGGTACTCCAGTATCTCCCATTGTGGCCAATTTGTTCATGGAACATCTGGAGCGAGAAGCAATAGCCACTGCCCCATATAATGCAAGCCTAGATTATGGAAACGATATTTTGACGACATACTTGAGATAATCAAGAAGGGGTCACAGAAGGATTTGATCACACATATCAACACCATAGATGCTACTAACAACATCAAATTTACACGTGAGGAAGAAACCAACTACACAATGCCCTTCCTAGACACTCTACTGGTAAAGAAAGAAGACGGAACCGTGAAGGTATTGGTCTATAGAAAATAGACCCATACGGACCAATGCATGAACTTGCGTCGTACGTACATTTCTCAACAGATGTGATACTATAGTCACAGAAACAGTGTCAAAATAAGGAGAAGAACAAGAAAAGGCCAATCAAGCATAAGAACAAAACCAGAGGTCAAGTGGTCATCCCGTATATAAAGGGTATATCCGAAACCATCCAGAGGATATATCGCGGTCATGGCATAGCAACAGCCATAAAGCCCCACAAGACGCTTCGCAATATCCTGGTACACCCTAAGGATAAAACATCTAAAGAAAACGTCGCAGGATGCGTATACACAATCGGATGCAAAAACTGCGACGCGTCGTATATTGGAGAGACTAGAAGGCGATTTGGGGTCCACCTTGGTGAACACCGGAAAGATACAGAAATCCAAGAAGGTAGGAAATTCACCAGATCAGAAAGGAAGCAGTCGGAGTCCCAGATAAATAAATCGGCAATCACAGACTATGCCACACCGAAAAATCCTGTGATTGACTGGGATAACTCCAAACTCTCGCACATCTATGACCAAGTATTAAACAAAGCGTAGCTGAATCGAGTCTTTCGGTAAATATATAACAATTAGTGTACATACGCTTACAGCGTAGCCGAAATCGACATCGATTTTGTGGACAACTCGTACACATTTTACACCTTTGTGTGCATACGTTTCACTGGTCATTTGTCTGAGGAAGGTCACAGTGTACATATCGTACTAGTCATCGAAACGTCACATAGGACATTTAATTGTTTATGTAAAAAGAATTTTTCATAACCCTCTTAATTCAGTTTTGTATATAACTGTAGCACGACTCAGCTAGGATATTTCTCCTTTTATCCTTGGAATTTTCGTTTATTCCATTGGTCAGTCCATTCTTATTATGCAATTCTTTCTTTCGTCGTTCCATTCATAAACTGATTGACTCATTGTGATATATCATCCGGTGCATGCTGCTTAATAAACTCTTCTAGAAGAAACTACATTCAATCGAGTCTGAATACAAACGGATCAGTGTCATTTTGAAGCTTCTTCGCCAGTTTTGTATGATGCGAGACCATCATGAGTGGTACACATTTGATACGATGTGTAGATGTTTGGTTACAAATTACGTAGATCTGAACAAGTAGGTATGATTATAATTATATTTCATACATATTTCATATAAAGCTCCGTGAAATATGGACAGAACTATACTGCGTTCATGCCGGAATGAATGTTAAAATAATCTGTTCAATCCCTATATCAAATATACTTGTATATAATTCAAAGACATACAATTTCAAGACATTCTGGCATAAACACATTTATGTAATACAAATAAAATGTGAAAGTTGAACAATAATATTTACAGAGCATAAAGAAGCACATAAATAATTCAAAATATGTAAGAGGATTTGATAGAAAGTTTAGAGTCTATGCAAAACCATTTCCTGAATGGAAAATATTGAATTTGTTATATTTTCTAACCATTCTAGCAAATCTATGTCATTTGTTTCAACATTCAATTTCAATATCAGATGATAATTGGTAACTGGTATTCCACGTTGAGTCATGATGCTATATCATATTTCCAAACATTTATACATATCTCGTTTCCATATTATTCATTTGGAAAGGAAAATGAATAAATTATATATCTGATTTATATGTTCATGTTATTCTGGGCAACCGTGTAATTTACCTTTTCTATTTATCTGGCATTAATTATGATGGAAGCATTTATAAATATAATAAAAGGTAATTAAGTTTTTCTTTAATATTCAGTTCGTGCGTGTCCAGTATACAACGTAAAATATTTTAATAGACATTGAGATTGGAAACGAACATTGCAACCGGTTTATAACATTTCCTCTTTATTTCACTATTTTTTTTTTTTTATTTCGAAGCAACTTCCAAAAATAGTCACATATATATTTAAAAAATGATTGTAAATACAATATAGTACAGTTACTAAAATAGTAAAAGTTTGATTTATATTAAATAGTTTAAGATTATGTGTAAGTTATTGTCACATGATATTCCTGGTACGAAATGTACACAGGGAAAATAATTGAAATCCGTTTGATTACATAGTATTTGTTAATGATCTAAAAAAGATATAAATCAAATTTAGGTATGAGAGACTGCGAATTCATTTGAATGTTAGGATCAGTTTGTATTTGATCTTTTGTGCGTTTATACTTGTATTGTAACTAGTTTGGGGTCACAGGTAAGTAGACTACATTTAAACACATTTAACATTAAGATGTATTCATGTCATATAGACACTTACAATGGATGACCCGGCAGTAAGTAGACTCGAACATGCATGTACAGCATGAAGTACTCATTCAAGTGTTATGCTAATTACATGTTAATTTGCTAATGTATATATGAATATTATATCTTAAATACTTTTAAAAGCGTTGATATGTTGTGCAGGACAAATGCTTTTGTATTTAGCACATCAACCATAATATCACCAGGAAGTTTACTTCAAGTTTATTAATGTCATGCAGATGTCGGATATTTAACTAGTTGCACAGAAAACGTTTGATTGCATCAAATACAGGTAAGATTACATCTACTTTAATCCAAATAATTATTTTTTTAAATCGATAATTTTGAATGCAACTTTTTCAACATCCTAATAGCGACTCTGTAGTGTAGAAGAACGGTGGTGTAGCTCAACAGACAAGGAATATACATATATACAGTTTATTTACGAAGTAATACACTATACACATACATATGATTATACATACACCTCATCCACTCATTCATACAGATGAATATCTACAATGAAACTATAAGATATATATATATAAAGTTCATGGCCTTTCTCTGTTCTGTATCTCCTTCCGGTGTCTCACTGAATTACTGTTCAATTCTGGTCCCAGTAGAAAACAATATCTGTCTAAATGACGACAGCACCATTCAACTTCCCGGACTTCCCGTATTCCACCCGATATCATCTGCTGATGACGAGGAATGACATAAGCTGTAGCCGCAGCATCATACCAGCTTTCTGTCCCATAAGTGTTGTCACTCCGACCCCTACGTGCTTTCTGGCGCACCAATGTTGTAGGCAGTCTGGCGAGTAAATTCACAATGTGGAACCAATGTTTAGTTGGTTGTCTTATCCACAATCCACCTTAGGCCATTTATCTCCGAGTTGGAACCAGACATCTGTAAAGTACAGATGTACACGAATAATAATAATAATCATACTTGTACACACACTCTTCCAAAACTAGCACACTTTATCTAATATGTTCAAACTATATAATGATATCTGGTATAACACTATACATAGAAAATAAACCATTATGCTATAAAACTATATATATATA